AACTCCTACAAAGGGAAAAATTCAGTTTAACACTATAGTCTATGCCTTTCATCTTTATTAGTCAATGGGGGTACCAGTAGATACATTCAAAAATGTGTATCAGTTTGGTAAAAAAAAAAAAACAAATTCAAAATCAAACTGGAAGTAATAATTTGAGAAAATAAGTTGTAACCAATAAAATGTTGTTTGTTTGTTTGTGCCAGTATTGGAGCTTGAACTCAAGGTTTTGAGGTCTTGTTTATCTTTTTTGCTCAAAAAAAGTGGAGTCATACCTCCACTTCTGGCTTTTTGCTGACTAACCAAAGACTCTTATGGGTTTGTCATCTTGGGTAGTTCCAAACCACGATCTTCAGATCTCATCCTATGAAGTAGCTAGGATTATGGGAGTGAGCTACTAGTTCCTTGCTAACATAGGTTTAAATACTACTTCAAATATGTAATCTATGGAGTTTTATCTTATGCTAATAATAAAGTCATTTAAAATCACAAGTACAACCAGGCGGTAAGTAGCCATGCCTGTAATCCTAGCTACTCTGAAGGCTGATATCTGAAGATCATGGTTCAAGCTGGCTTGGGCAGGAAAGTCTGTGAGACTGTTATCTCCAATTAACCAACAAAAAACCAGAAATGAAGCCATGGCTCAAGTAGTAGAGCACTAGCCTTGAGCAAAAAGTTTGAGGACTATTCCCAGGCCCTGAGTTCAAGCCCCAGGATCCAACACAAAAATAAAAATAATAAATAATAAATAAAATCCTAGACATAAAAATGACATAAATATATCATGTGATAGGAATGATAGTTTTAACTACATTATCTCTTACACTTAAAGAATCATAAATATAATCATTGGAACAAATGTTTGTTTGTTTTCAAGGGAAATTTATGGATATTATATTATCATCCAACTGGGACAGAAAGTAAAATCTACTCCAGCAGTTTCCTCACTTGTCCAATCTAAAGAATTGTTCTATGAGTTGGCTGATCAGAGTCTTAATGACAATAAACCATCAAAACTTCAATTCCCCAGACAGGCACAAGAAAGGTTTCAGGTTAGACTTGAACTTCTGAGGAATGATACTCTGAGGGGATGATATTCCTCAGACTAATGACTAGACTGACCCACAGTGAGACAGACAGAGATGATAAATGTGCTAACTGAAGAAATGGCATTCCATGCAAGAATTGAAAGGCCACATCTACTTCGGTTTCCATAATCAATAACATCAGGGTGGCAGAATCCCTATGGCTACAACATCCCACTGTATTCATTCCTGAAACAATGCATTTCAACCTGTCAGAACCTCCCCGCATGGGTCTCTGTGGACAATTTCAATCCATGAAGTAGAAGATGGAGACTTTCCATATACAGGGCAAAAACCATTTTACATAGAAATTGGGTTCTTCTCACCTTTTCATCACTTTCTGTTTTAGCAAGAAGGAAGGGGGAATGAGAAAAATTGGAATATTTTCCCATAAAAGAGAGCCCTGGGCTTTCCAAATCTTTTCAAAAAAGTAATTGTTCAGTCCCCTCCTTATCTAGGAGTCCACTGAGCAAATACAACATAAATGAGACAATACATACATGCATACATATGTAAACATACACACACACATATATATACACATATATTGAGTGTGTATGCTGGTACTGGGGCTTCAACCCCAGGTTCTGCACTCTCTTCTTGCTCATGGCTGGCACTCTCTATTACCTGAGTTAGGCCTCTAGTTCAGCATTTTGCTGGTTATTCTGTCGATGGAGACTCATGGACTTTTCTGTACAGGCTAACTTCAAACCACTATCCCCTAGATTCTAGCCTCCTGAGTAGCTAAAATTACAGATGTGAGCCACCAACACACAACATAGATATATAGCTGAACAGATACCTTTTCAAAGGAGAATATGTTTCACAAAAGATGTGGTTAAATATTAATGTTACATCTACAGATGCTCTTGGGAAATACATTGGAATTAAGAGCGATGGAATAGAATTTGCAGAATGCCTAGATCATAGAGGCACAAGAAAGTTGAAGGTGATAGAATCTTAAGCTTGTTTGACTGATACTTTCTCCAGCGTTGTTTAAATTGTAGAGTTTCATAAAGAAGAGACAGATTACTGCCCAGACAAATACTATTTTTATTTTCTGATTGCCTGATATGCAGAGACCTAACCATTAGGAAATGAGCTAATGTTCTGGATCTTCTGTGTCAATAAGGAGAAGTAGTAAATAAATGCTGGTGGGTGGTGCTATAAAAGCCCTTAATCAAAAAACAATATTCCAGCATCTGAATTGTGAAGTAAGAAATCCAAGAGAGCTAATAGGCTCAAATAGTTGTTGTTGTTTGTCGGTCGTGGGCCTTGAACTCTGGGCCTGAGCGCTGTCCCTTAGCTCTTCAGCTCAAGGCAAGCACTCTACCACTTGAGCTACAGCGTCACTTCCAGTTTTCTGGTGGTTTATTGGAGGTAAGAGTTTCACAGACTTTCCTGCCTGGGCTGGCTCTGAACCGCGATCCTCAGATCTCAGCCTCCTGAGTACCTAGGATTACAGGTGTGAGCCACGGGCACCTGGCTAGGCTCAAATAGTTTAACTCACCATACTTACCAAGAAATTCCCAACCTATTACATCTTTCCTAAACACATGCCCCATTTCCTGTCAAAATATAGAGTCTCCAAGACCTTTTTCCATACATACACATCTCAAATGAAAACCATCAGTTTCCAGATTGAGATGTCTTGATTTGGAAAGGAGTGAGTATGAAGAAGAAAGTTCTCTGTTTCACAGATTGGCCCTAGCTAAACTCAAGTCTATCAAGTCTTACTCCTGCATCTCACTCTTCCTCTTGACAGCTCTTTTGATAGAGAGGGCATGCTTCCTACACAAATGCTAGCAAAAGCAGTGGTACTTGATCTGCTCACTTTTACACTGGGTCAGAACAATGGCATTCCTCCTGAATTTGTGCAGCCTGATCAATGATTCTATTCTAACGAATCTATAAGTCAGAAAATATTTGCATAAACCAAATCCCACTTGGCCCTCTAACAAATAACAAGTGGTGGATTTTACATTAAATTATAAAAACCTACGCAGTTCCCTTATCAGTTCCCAATAAATGCATCCCTCTGAAAATTCCACTTGATTTTTAAATGTCCAAGACATCCCAGCTGCAAATATATAATTGCAGGTTTTTTTTAAAGCAGATAATTTAGGAAAAGTACTCTGAGAGCGTAAGACCAAAATATCCTCTTGGTGTCCCTTTCTTTAAAAAAAATGTTTACCAATCTCTGTGCTAGAAAAAAATGATTTCACAAGGTTAGAATATGAAATTAACTGAACTAAACTATTGTGCTGCTACATCATCCTTAATTCAAAGATTAGCCAAAAACAATGTTAAGTTGGTGGGTTTTGGGGGGTGTGAATGAAGTGTGTGGAGGTAGGCATGTTTTAAAGTAGTAGTTATAAGTTTAACTGCATTTACTTCTTAATGGAACCAACCCAGATGCCCCTCAGTAGATGAATGGATCAAGAAAAAGTGATATATATACACAATGGAATTCTATGCCTCCATCAGAAAGAATGACATTGCCCCATTTGTCAGGAAATGGAAAGACTTGGAAAAAATTATATTAAGTGAAGTAAGCCAGGCTCAAAGAAACATAGGTCCCATGGTTTCCATTATTTGCAATAACTAGTATATGTCTGAGACAAGCAGAAAAGATCAGATAAGTCAATGTTAGGTGAAATGAACCCCAAGATAAGTATTCAAATGTTATTTTCTTTCTAGTTATTGTTTCTAACGTCTTTATAAGACGATTTCTTTGTTGCTTTGTATGTCCCTCTCCCATGGTATAACCCCTGCTTTCACTGTATTTGATGTCGGTATAATTTGTGGAGGGGAAGGGCAAAAACAAAACCGTTTAACTAGGGATACATGTGGACCCAATGCAACAATGAGATGTACAAGTCGTTATGTCGAAAAACGAACTTTACAACTTTGGCGGGGGGAGGGGAGAGGGGGATTTGGGGGAACGGGGGCGGGGGAGGTGGGGGGAGGTGAGAAGGGAAGGTATGGGGAAACAAAGGAATAGGCAATGCAATGCTTGATAAGAAATGGCGGGAGGATTGGGTGCGGGGCAGGGGAGGATGGGAAGGGATGGGAAGGGGAAATGAAGGAGGAGGCTGCAATGCTTGATAAGAAATGTACTCATTATCTTGCCCATGTAATTGTAACCCCTCTGTACAGTATTTTCACAATAAAAAAAAAAAAAGAAATGTGCTCATTACCTTGCCCATGTAATTGTAACCCCTCTGTACGGTATTTTTACAATTAAAAAAAAAAGATTTGAATAAATACTAGGCTCTCCTAATCCATGTAATTCCCTCTGGTTGAACATTGCAAAAAACAAGCAAGAGTAAGAGTAAGCAAGTAAGAGTAAATTTGAGGAGGAAGGAAATTCCAAAAGAGGGACAGCAAAACGATTCCTACCCAAGCATTAACTCACAATCAAGCATTACTTATGTGTAGCTCTTTTTCTTAAAAAGAAGGTAGAAAAGAAAAAGTTACATATAATATATCTCATGAATAAGGATCCATCATAAGTCATTCTGAGTCTGATATAAGAATTGGCTCATGGCGTAGGCTAAAAAGAGTTTCTCAATCCCCCTTATGAGAAATAATGATAATAATGGTTATTATTGCAGGAATATCATTAGCATTAATATAGGAATGATCATCTCTTGAATGTTTATCGCATGCTGGGATTATGCTGGGTGCTTATGCATTATCCCATTTAATCTTCACAGTAGTCTTATGAAGTAGATACTATTATTATCTTCATTTTGCAACTGAAGAGACCAGGACTGAGAAAAGTAAATGGGATACGAAAGTGCCCGTGAAGCACTGCAGAGTTTGAAATATAGGTTATTATCACTGTACCATTCATTAAACCTTCACCCTCACCCCAACACCACCACAAACACCACCCACACCAGCTCCACTCACCTCTACAGACACTGCAGCACTGATTCTCTGGAAGAATATGATCCTTTTCTGAGCAGTTCAAAGGAGGGCACATTTCCGTAATTTTTACTAAAACTCCACCCTGGAAGCCAAATATTAGGAAAATTTTTTAAAAAGCTGTTCAAAGATATAGCTAATGATCCAAACTTATAAGACTCATTTTTAATATCCTGCAATTATCACAACCGACACCGACAGAACAACATTAACAACACCCTCGGGAATTCCACTAATAAATGATGACAGTGCAAATTACATTGCTGAAACTCTTGAAAGAGAAAGCCAATTTCCCCTCTAAGGGAAACAGCCTCAATTTCAAGGTTCTGAGTATGTTTTATAGAGCAAATGGGTGCTAGCAATTGACTCCTGAGTAAGGAGGTCTAATTCGCAAGCCTGACCAATTTCTTGATGTGAATTTTCTAAAAGGTCAATTTTGAGATATCACCAACATGGCTTCTTCACTGAAAGCAGAATTCGTCTCATGAGCTTCTGTGAGCCAGTTCCTGCATTCCACAGGGTAATGGCATTATGAACCCTAAGGTAAGCAAACACCTGCATTATTCTTGATGAATTCAAAGTTTGGTGGAAAGAGGAAAAATACGATAATCTCTTAAACTAAAAAAACATAATACAGTATAGCAATACCTCCCCCCAAATGGGCTGTACTAAAATGTATTATAGAATAATATAATAAAAGAAGAAGAGGTCTTACTGGCATAGGAAATATACAAGGGCTAAAGAAATCAGGTATGAATGAAAGAGGTTTAGTTAACTAAATACTAGTATTTCTCTTGATACAGATAAAATCACCTATATCAAAATGATAAATATTCAGCAGCTGGATCTTTATGACCTCACTTCAACTAAGGTCTTCTTTGATGGCATTACTACATCTGTATTTGTTTTGTTTTGTTTAAGTAGCTCATTAATTACTATCCTTTAAAATGCTAGAGAGGCCTTTGTTTTATCTATAAGAGTTTTTCTCTACCATTTTTACAGGGATGTTTAAGACAGCCAAGAAGCAAAATGGAAGAGAATCTCATTTAAGGCCAAAAGTCTGTTCCACACATGGATAGAAGAACAGGATAGAAGCCATCAGCCAGGACACATGGAAGAGTTACTGAGTTTTCCATTTCTAAGCCGTTCTTTGGTTCCAGGGCCCCCTTCTCAGCCCCAGTTTCCTAGTTCAGCAAGACCTACTATTATATCAGGTATACCATTCTAAAATGTGAATACTAATAACATTAACTATGAAATAACAATTTCCAATTATTCATCTCCTGAGTAGATTGTAGCATGGATCCCTGTCTTTTCTCATAATTTCCTGCCTGGATAGGCCAACATTTAGCATTCTGTATCTTTGCTTCTGTTCCTTTGCTCTCCATTACCTAAACTTTTTCTTATATACTGATTCTTAGAACTAGCCCTAAGATCTGAGAATTACTGCCTCTGACTCTCAATCTCTGTTTTCTACTAGAGTCCATTTTCATTCTTCACTCCAAGTCAAATTGGGCAGCCTCAAAAATTAGCACTACTCCTAATGTAAGATTCCATTCCTGACATAACTTAGTTTTTCCTAGAGAGAATAAAACAAATTACTATAATGGACAGTAATAATTCTATTATTGGGGCATAGGAATATGCCAAATTACCAATCTTTAATATTATCCTTAGATATTATGTATTTATCCCAATTCTCCACTGCTTCCTGGCGTAAGTAGAAAAACAGACACTGCTGCATCTCTTTTGTGCATTCTATGTTCCTACTCCTAAACTGTGAATGCTTTACTACTAATGACTCATCTCTGTCACCCTTAGAGGGTTGCCCTGGGACATAGACCGTGTCTATGCAGAAAACCAGAATTATCTATAAATTCTATAACTCTGTGCTCATGGCCCAATGCAAATGACTACATTAGACATTGTTTATAGAGAAGGGACAATGTCTGGGGTTTCATTTATGTTCCAGAAAAACTAGTGGCATCTGTAAAGCAATTAGGAGATGGTCAGGATCTGGGGACTCCTCATAGATTATGTTGTTATCATTCAAGAAAATTACTAATAAAAAGATGAGTTCAGTCTCTCTTACTCTAGTAAAAAAAACAAAAAATAAAGAGAACAGGTATATATTTTAAATGCTTTATGATAAAGGAAAGTCTATAGCAAATGCTTTAGGTAAAAACACTGAGAAAAGTATCCATTATAAAAATATTTTCTTTTGTATTTTATGTTATTGTGAAGGTGATATACAGAGGGGTTACAGCTATTATAAGTCAGGTAATGAGGATATTTTTTGAGCAGTGTTACCCCCTCCCTTGTTTTCTTACACTTTCCCTCCCCCCACTGACTCCTTTCCCCTAATGTTATAAAGTTCAATAAAAATATTTTCTAATTACTTAATAAAAATCTAGTGCCATCAAAGTGTGTCTGGAATTTCACCTCTAGTTTTACCTTTGATCTTTCTCTGAAACTGTACCTTTGCTGAGTTTCTTTGTTCCTTCCCCCCCCCCCACCGTCCCCCAATGGCATGCTCCAGAGTCTACTGGACTAGCTTCTCTTCAGAGCACGTATATAATGAGCCACTTCTACTGAAATCCTTAGTTCAGGGTCTACTTCTAGAAGAATCCAAACTACGATGATGAAGATACATTTCATTCTTGCTATCAAAATTCAAATTAATAAAAGTAATTATCTCTAGGTGATAAGATTCTAGAGTGGTTTTCATTTTGTTTCTTAAGCTCTATTCTCTAAATTCAGAATCTTACTATATGAATGCATACTTGATTTTCTGAAATAAAACATGTTTAACATAAAGTAGAGATTTCTTTTAATTACTCACAAAAGGTATTTGGTTTATTTCATTTTATTTTTTTATTTTTTGGTTGGTTGTAGGCTTGAACTCTGGGCCTGGGCACTGTCTCTCAGCTCTTCAGGTCAAGGGTAGCACTCTATCACTTGAGTCACAGCACCACTTCCAGTTTTCTGGTGGTTTATTGGAGATAAGAGTCTCTTGGCCTTTCCTGTCAAGGCTGGCTTTGAACCATGATCCTCAGATCTCAGCCTCCTGAGTAGCTAGAATTACATGCATAAGCCACCAGTGCCTGGCTAAAACGGTATTTTTTTAAGGGTCATATTTTAACTTCTCAATCACTTGGTCAGTAATTCTCATTAACTTTTTTTTTTTTTTGCCAGTCCCGAGACTTGAAATCAGGCCCTGGGCACCGTCCTTGAGCTTCTTTTTGCTCAAGGTGCACACTCTACCACTTGAGCCACAGCATCACTTATACCCTGTCTGTTTATGTGGTACTGAGGAATCAAGCCCAGGGCTTCATGAATGCTAGGCAAGCACTCTATCACTAAGCCACATTCCCAGCCCCCTCATTAACTTTTAACATATTTAATGAGTAAGATCATAACTCTAAATGTTTATAAAGAGAGAAACTTTTATATGTTTCTAAAATTTGAAATGTGATTGCTGTAGTACAAATACTACTAAATCAATTATTCGAGCTACATAGTAAAACAACCCTTTTTTCTTTACTATTTTGAAAACTATTCATAAAATATATTTTAAACTGTTTTTAAATCCTCTTGATTTATGGCATGATATTTTATAACCTCTGTATTGAGCTCTATCTGGAAAAATACATTTCTTATTATTATTTTTTTTGTAGGTTAGAGAAACTATCACCATGTCATTGGTCAAATGTAAGCACTCAAGTTCTATACTAATTAATCACTGTGCTGCAACTTGAATTTCTAACTACATGTGAAAACTACATTTTTAAGTAAAAAATATTGTTCAGCTACAGAAATGTTTGAGAAAAGCAATAATTAAACAAAATGAAGTCAGACTGCTAAAAGAGCGTATTGTTCTTGATTTTCAAAGGAAAACAATACGCTAACTTCTGAAAATATTCGGTGAAAACAGTTGAGTTGCTCCTTCTTTAATTAGTGCTGCTAAAACTTTAAAATGATCCCAGAAAATTGAGACTGATGGATCTTCAGGTTGCCTCTTGTCAACTGAGGAGCTTCCTTTGTACCACAGAACATAGAAAACTGAGAACTATTTTTTCTATTTTCTCAAGGATGACACTACAATGTGCCACTTGAGATGCATAGGAGAGAAGTCAATCCATTACATGCAACAGATATCATCAGCATTAGGCCATTAGCATGAAGGCCAGAAGCTTGAGAAAGGCTACTTGGGAAAGACTACTCATCCTACTATTCTCTGTCCCTGCTAACTACTTCCATTGCATATACCCCTCCCAAAGCTCTTATATGGCCTTTTTATAAATGCTGCCCTTGAGTAAGGAAATCACTGGGCCCTAGCCTGACCAATTTGATATCCTTAGATAGACTGAAAAGTGATTATTTAATCCTTCAGAAACTACCACTCTAAAATATAAAATTATTTAGGTGAATTCACATACATGCATACATGTATACACAACGTGTCTAAAGTGAATAACCTAAAATGTGGCTTATTTTGGAGAATGTTCCATGTGCTGCTCAGAAGAAAGTGTATTCTGATGCTGCTGGGTGAAATATTAGGTAGATGTCTATGCAGCTGTTTAGGTCTGAGGTTTCTCTGTTGAGTTTTTGCCAGGTTGATCTATCCAGTGCAGATTGTAGTGTGTTAAAGTTCCCAACAATTAATGTCTTTGGATCTATGTGTGATTTTAGGGACAGTAGTGTTTCTTGGATAAATTTGGGTGCTCTGTTATTTAGTGAATAGATATTTAGAATTGTAATATCCTCCTGAAGGAGAGATTCCTTAATTAGTATGTAATGACCTTCTTTATCTCTTCTCGCTAATTTTACTTTAAAGTCTATTTTATCTGATAGTAGAATTACAACTCCCACCTGTTTATGGGGGCTGTTTGCTTGGTAAATTTTATTCCAGCCTTTCACTTTCAGACTATGTAGATATGTACATATGACCATATAAGATAATGCTAAACAAAATGAACTCCAAGACATTGACACAAGAGGTTTTTCTTTGTTATTTTTCAATGTACTATGTGATTTTTTTTGTTTCTTTTATATGTTCTTCTCCCTATGGTATATCCCTTATTGACACTGTTTTTGATTTTGGTACCCTGGTATTGCATATATGTTTATTTGAATTATGGAAGGGGAACAATATTAGAATGTTTTTTCTTTCTTCAAAAAAAAGAAGGCCAAGCCACCCTATATGTAGCACCTATCAATATAGAAAGACTATTACAACATTGTACCCACAAATCTGACTGGACCTGGCATTCCTATTGCTACTCAAAAGAGAGACATGGGAAATATGATAAGGAGTGTTCAAGGAGGTCAACTATTGGGGTAGATTTTGGCAACAGGAGACGGGATATAGGAAGGAAACCTCTCTCCCTATCACCCTCTTCCTGTAAAGGAGTCCTGTCTTTGGTTTGTATCACCTTGAAAGCATCTGTAAGCCTCTAAATACCTCATTCACTTCCATCTTTAAAATATATTTCACCATTTCTCCCAGAATGTGATGAAGAGAAGATGAAATAATGTGAGTAAAAGTGTTTGGGAAGATGGTCTGCTCTGAGATAAAGTGGTTCTGTCAGCCGTTCTGAAGGTGTCTCACAAAACCAGCAGTGCTTTGCTGTAGTTTGGGGCTGCAGTGTAAAGCACAGCCTTGTTTATGCCTGCTTGCCTTTCCTTCTTTACTTCCTTGTGTCTGCCTTCAGTTTTGCACTACGAGGACTGTTCTTATCAGCACCCCATAACTACAGAAGAAGGAAGGGAGGAAGGAAGGAAGGAAGAAAGAAAGGATGGAACGAAGGAAGGAAGGAAGGAAGGAAGGAAGGAAGGAAGGAAGGAAGGAAGGAAGGGAGAGAGAGAGTCAAGCCAAAACTCCATACCTCAAGTTGTGCTATCTAGGAACCTCAGTTAGATAGGTAAGGAAGATAAGGTTCTCTTGCCAAATTTTCCAGCTAATATTGGGCAGAAGGGAAGTTTGGTTAGGCAGCTCAGCATGAAGCTCTGGGAAATCTTATTATTGCATTTGGCCTCTTCCATCTCATTTATATTCCTCTAGGGCTGATAGGTATGCCTATAAGATGATCTCTTCTTATTTGCAGTGAGTGAGGTAAGAAAGTGAAAAAAGCACAGAACTACGTTCTCTTCCATCTGTCTGAGACGTGCTTGCTAGCTTCTCCCTACTAGACCATGGCTGTTCTCTCTGATTTCAGACTTCTGGGACTTGATCTGAGAGATGAGGGTCCATTAAAGGTGAATGAGCATGTGTCCTAAATTGCTTTGCATCTTTAGGGGTGACAGGGATTGCTGTGTTTCTTTGGGGTGATTGGAGGAGCACTAAAAGTAGATAAGAAATGATGAAATTCCAATCATGCACAGTGACAGCAAAGATATAAACAGAGAATAATTTGAGAACTAGTTATAATGTTGAAATGGAAAGACTTGGTGGGTGGGCAGGCAAGGGGGAGGCTGTTGTGAGGAGGAGGAGGAGGAGGAGGAGGAGAAGGAAGAGGAGAAGGAGGAGGAGGAAGAGGAAGAGGAGGAGGAGGAAGAAGAGGAGGAAGAGGAAGAAGAGGAGGAGGAGGAAGAGGAGGAGGAGGAGGAAGAAGAGGAGGAGGAGGAGGAAGTAGAGGAGGAGGAGGAAGAAGAGGAGGAGGAGGAAGAAGAAGAGGAGGAGGAGGAGGAGGAAAAG